TTTTTTTATCTAAGAAAATATATACATATTTGGACCTTAATTTCAATAAATATGTAAAAAAAATGCAAAAATTACTAAAAATTCAATAAAAATAGTGGATAAATAATTATAGTGAATATTGAATCGCATTGCAGATCGAATTTTGTACCCATCGTACTGTTTTTCAATTACCAGTTACTATTTTGAAGGGGAAGGAGGAGACGAAAAAAAAAACTGAAAAATATTTAATTTTACCTAAATTTGTAATAATATAATAATAATATTTATTAACTGAAAAATATATAATAAACTAAAACTATTCAAAATTTTCTTTTGTATGGTAAATTTCAAAACAAGGTGCAGCACATAGCCCAACATTCCTTATTTCAACATTAGAAAACATACCTTTTATACACTAAAAATCCAATTTACTCTCTATAAAAATACACCATAAAACAAAAACGTTTTTATATGTTGACACTAATAATATTTGTAAAAAATAAAAAACAATTGTCTTTGAAGAAATTCACTTTGATAACGTCACTTTACTTCACGACTTGCTCACGAATAATACACTAAATGTTCATAAGTGCCATCCTAAAAGTGCATATTTTATTCCTGAATAAGCAAAAAATAGAAAGAGATCGGTGATAACTGGAGAGTAATAAATAAATTAGTCATAACAAAACTCACAAAAGTGCCAACGCTAATTAGATACGCAATAATGGATGTAGATAGATAGAAACAATTACCAGGTCAGAGATGCTTATAAGTGTCACCCTAAAAGGCCATATTTTATAATCCCAAATAAACAAACTTTACAGCTTACAATACAGAATTACACGATGAATATCAATAAATTGAATGTTTTCCTTGGTTTTTATTAAGTTATTTTTACTGCCCGGATATATTCGAATCTGAACATTTTAGCGACATAAGTTGCGACGCCGACCGTATATATACGGGTCTGCACATTTCGGCCGGTTTTGCACGCCCGTGTTAATACGTTTCTGCGCGTTAAGGGGTTAACGAAAACAAAGAAAATCGTCTTTGATAAAAGCGCTACGAACTTATTCCCCAACCCAATACCCCTAGAAATGATGATTTTCCTTATATCCGCAGAATCGATAGTCAGTGAATTGATAGATCGATGCGCAACGCAGTGGATCACGGTCGTCGAAACGATATTACCGTAGCGTCCTTTAGTTGACACTCGACAGTTTGATTATCAGCAGCGATTTCATGTTCGTCTAATGGGCTCCGAACGGGAAATTAATCCGTCCCATCGGATAGAATTAACTGAAGGAAATTACAGTTATGCGCGCGAGTATCTCTGCGTTTCGCCGGTTTCAGTTAACCGCCAAGTCATTTGTAACGCGCATCCGTACGCCGCGAGGTTCTACCTATGTCCAATACGTTCGCCGCGCGGCTGCAACAGATGATTCCGAAAAGCAAATTAATCATCGAATTAATGGCTATCGGATTGAAACGTATTGCTATTAATATCGATCAAGTGTGCGCGCCTCTCGCAATCGCGCTTCGCTCCGCGGAAATGTATTTGCATTCGACAATGATCCACCCTACGCAACGTGCAATCATATAAACACCGAATATATATTTCACCACGAATTCGCTGTACATTATGCGTATGTATATGACAGATGCCGTATATAACTATAAAGGATCCAACCGCACCCTTGGAAACACAGTTCCGTCGAAAGTACAGTTTCCGATGTTTCAGAGTTAAAATTTGGCACGGAGGATTTTCACTCGACGGGACTATCGAGCGGTGTAATATTCGCTGAAAAAGCTGCGAGACTAAATTTATCCACGGTGATGCATAATTGGTAGGGAATATATTAGGTCTACTGGAAAGTTCTGTCTGATAATGTCATTGCAAATTTCAATAGATATGCACATATTGATTTGAGAGATATATTTTTGAAAAATGTTGCTCACAGATTGCCATCACGCTGGCAAGAGGTCATAAGTAACGACGGAAATTATATTGTACAATACATATTACTAAATTTATGAAAAATCGATTATTTCCTTTCATTTCTCGAACGGACAGAACTTTCCGATAGACCTAATACCTTACCTATGCTGCAGTGACGAGTGTGTAGTTATTAGATTGCGGATCTTTATGCGAAATACAAATTTACAGAATACATTGTGAGGAGCAAAAAGTTTAATAAAGAAATGCATCTTAGACTAATGAATACGTTGAATTAGTAGGAAAAATATTGTGGCACGGTCGGCTCCGTGCTCAATTAAAGGCAACTCTGAGGAGGAAATCACAACAGTCGCTGTAGACGTGCGTGCTAAATACCTGGTCGCATGTTTACAAATTGACGATATAGACAGTTCGAAACCTGGAGTTTACAAAGAATTTATTCTCCAATGGTATTCGAATTTAAGCCACCGAGAAATTAAATTATGCATGGTATGTGTTTCTCTCCCACTACCCATGTAGATTTCTCTAATTGTTACAATTCGAAATTATTTGAATCGTAATTATTGTGGTAAGAGTAAACAATCCTATCGTTGAGTACTGTGATAGTGTAAAAAAATTAGCTATAGTTACGCAACGTTAGGATAAGTTTTTACACTTTTTTTCTTCAAACGGACCAAGCCGGAGGAGGCGATTAAATTTAATCTTACAGCTTTTTCATGGAATATCTCTCCGTTCGACAGTTAACAAGAGACAATTCACCGTACCCAATTTCAACTATAAAATATATAAATTAAGATCTTCTAAATTTACAGAAATAATACTTATCCTAAATTTACAGTTGTAAATTAGGTCACGCAATTTTCCCAGCATTTAAAACACACCCAAGTGTACATTAAATTATAAATCAGTACACTGAATCGCTAACTAACGGATTAGTGGTTAACGCGACTGTGAATAACCGACATAAATCAAGTGGACAAAATATTGCGCTATTTTTATGTGAATTTTCTGATAAAATACTATCGTAGGCAGCGTTCTTCAGATTTTCGGTAAGGCATGCCATTGTAGAAAAAGTGTACAAAAATTATCCTAGTGCCCAATTACCATACTTAATTAATTCATTCATGGCAAAGGAAACGGGGCAGTAGGATTGTTTGCTCTAACCACAATAATTACGAATTCCAGTAATTTAGAATTGTAAACATTGAGAGAAATCCACATGGCAGTGGGAGAGAAACAACATACCATGCGTTAGCATATTTCTCGGTGGCTTAAATTCGAATACCATTGGAGAATAAATTCTTCGAAAATCCAGGTTTCGAACTGTGCGTCATATCTCCGTCATTTGTAAACATGCGACCAGGTATTTAGCGCGCACGTCTACAGCGACTGTTGTAATTTCGTTCTCAGAGTTGACTTTAGCTCAGCACGGAGCCGACAGTCCCACAATATTTTTCTCATTAATTCAATGTATTTATTTCTCTAAGGTGCGTTCTTCTGTTTAACCTGTTTGCTCCTCACAATTTATTCAGACAATTTTTGCAAAGGAAAACGTTACTTCGATTGTCTTCAGGATCCCCTCGTTTCCAGGAAATAACATAACTTTGAGACACCCTGTATAATACGTACCGTAAGCTATCTCATCGAGTAGTCGTTGCTGTCATTTCACAATCTACAATATTGTCGGAAATTCCTTAATCTTTTGAGTAAAATGTGCAACTTCCTTATGAATTTTTTCATACAATTTTTGAAACGTATGGTTCGAGAGTAAGATTCGTTAAAAAATGATATTTGTCCCGTATGTAAACGTGCGAAATCGCTCAAATGCATTTTCGAATCGTAGATTGACCTGGTTAGGCGGGCCCTTAGGTTAAGTACTCGTCGAATTTTGTCTTAAAATGAGCGGGTCATCTGAATGACGCATTAGTACTCACTGTTGCAGACGGTGGTCGAGGTGTGCCAGAAGAAGAGGCAGTGCAAGTTCAACACCAGTCCAAAGACCTTTCAGGGAGACCCGTGTCCAGGTCTCCCGAAGTACATCGAGGTCGCTTATCAATGCCGTCCTTGTAAGTAAACATTATTTCTTTGTCGTCCAAGATTATTACTCGACTGCGGATCTGTACGATTGCTAAATCCTCTGCATCGATTGCGAGACGACGAAACGAGTCCAGTACAATTTGTTTTCTTTCTCTTTAACACGTTGAGCGCGGCGTTAGTACCCTGGGACTGACAGTGGACTTTCCGTTTGGGCTGACAACGTACATTTTTGGGCAGCGTCAGTTCACAGGAACTGACAGTGTACTTTTTTGGGCAGTCTCAATTCACAGGGACTGATAGTGTACTTTTTTGGGGCAGCATCAGTTCTAAGGGACTGACAGTGTACTTTTTTGGGCAGCGTCAATTCACAGAGACTGATAGTGTACTTGTTTAGGCAGTCTCAGTTCGCAGGAACTGACAGTGTACTTTTTTGGGCAGCGTCAGTTCGCATGGACTGACAGTGTACTTTTTTAGGCAGTGTCAGTTCACAGGGACTGACAGTGTACTTTTTTGGGCAACTTCAGTTCGCGGGGATTGACAGTATACTTTTTTGGGCAGTGTCAATTCGCAGGGACTGATAGTGTACTTGTTTGGGCAGTGTCAATTCATAGGGACTGATAGTGCACTTGTTTGGGCAGTGTCAATTCATAGGGACTGATAGTGTACTTGTTTGGGCAGTGTCAATTCATTGGGACTGATAGTGTACTTGTTTGGGCAGTGTCAATTCACAGGGACTGATAGTGTAATTTTTGGGGCAATGGCAATTTTCTGGGACTGACAGTGTACTTTTTTGGGCAACTTCAGTTCGCAGGGATTGACAGTATCCTTTTTGGGCAGCGTCAGTTCGCATGGACTGATAGTGTACTTTTTTAGGCAGTGTCAGTTCACAGGGACTGACAGTGTACTTTTTTGGGCAACTTCAGTTCGCAGGGATTGACAGTATCCTTTTTGGGCAGCGTCAGTTCGCATGGACTGATAGTGTACTTTTTTAGGCAGTGTCAGTTCACAGGGACTGACAGTGTACTTTTTTGGGCAACTTCAATTCGCGGGGATTGACAGTATACTTTTTTGGGCAGTGTCAATTCGCAGGGACTGATAGTGTATTTTTTTGGGCAATGTCAATTCTCAGGGACTGATAGTGTACTTTTTTGGGCAGTGTCAATTCACAGGAACTGATAGTCTACTTTTTGGGGCAATGGCAGTTTTCTGGGACTGACAGTGTACTTTTTTGGGCAACTTCAGTTCGCAGGGATTGACAGTATACTTTTTGGGCAGTGTCAATTCACAGGGACTGACAGTGTACTTTTTTGGGCAACTTCAGTTCGCAGGGATTGACAGTATACTTTTTGGGCAGTGTCAATTCACAGGGACTGACAGTGTACTTTTTTGGGCAACTTCAGTTCGCAGGGATTGACAGTATACTTTTTGGGCAGTGTCAATTCACAGGGACTGACAGTGTACTTTTTTGGGCAACTTCAGTTCGCAGGGATTGACAGTATACTTTTTGGGCAGTGTCAATTCATAGGAACTGATATTGTACTTGTTTGGGCAGTGCCAATTCACAGGGACTAATAGTGTACTTGTTTGGGCAGTGTCAATTCATAGGGACTGATAGTGTACTTGTTTGGGCAGTGTCAATTCATAGGGACTGATAGTGTACTTGTTTGGGCAGTGTCAATTCCCAGCGACTGACAGTGTATTTTTTTAGGGCAGCGTCAGTTCGCAGGGACGGACAGTGTACTTTTGGGGTCAGTGACAGTCTGCTGGGACTGACAGTGTACTTTTTGGGGCAGCGTCAGTTCACAGGGACTGACAGTATACTCTTTTAGGGCAGCATCAGTTCGCAGGAACTGACAGACTACTTTTTTAGGCAGCGTCAATTCCCAGCGACTGACAGTGTACTTTTTTTGGACAGTTTTGGACGGCATCGGTGCATGGAACCGTCAGTATTATTATTAAAAAATAATGCTGGCCCGCCGCCTCAACGGAAAACCTCGAAAAATTAGCTTCGCGCTTGACGTATTAATATAATCTCTAATCAAAATTCGTACACCAACGTTCTCGGATCATTTCAATCCGTTCACTGTTCCCCGCTCACATTTACCATAACAAACGCATAAAATCCGCAGTCCGTTAATTATCCATAAATAAATCCACGTTTCCTCGGAGACCATTCGGTCGCGTTAAAAATATCTGCAACGTGATACGTCACCAAACAATCTTTTCGCCGCTTTTACCGTGCTACGCGGGAAAAGATTGAGCTTTTAAGGTAACGTTATTGTAACTGCCAATGGTAACGGCAAAAAGCCGCGGTAAAAATGACCGCAGTGTCTTTTGAGGCGCGCATGTGGGCATAGCCGGGAGGTCTCTTTTCGCAGCGACGTCGTTTTTCCTCGTAGCACTTATCGATACCTTTTTGCGAGCTCGATGAACATTAGCCTAGTTCGAGGTCCCTGCGGAAACCACGCAGATATTGATGTAGTTTCGAGGCGGTTCTTTGCCGGCGTTACAGTAAGTAACAGGGGCACTTCAGCCACTCTTGCGGACGCATTTCTGTCGATGAGCATCGCTTTAAGCGATCCCGGTTCGCCCGCGAACGCTGCAATGCAGAGATTAAATTGTAACACGGTTCGGAACAATACGACGAAATTTCGATATCGTTCGAATTATAACGGGCTGCCGGACATAATAACGAAATAAATTAACGTTGCAACTGTTCGTTATTTCGGTTAAAATGCTGCCGTAGATATCTGCAACGCGCGGTGAACATTGTAAAAACATTTGTCTTGCCGAGAAGACGTGAACGCGATTTAAAAAGATACTGCTAAATTTCGATGTTATCCGAATTACACGGAATAATCTGACGTAATAACGGAACGAGACGCGTAAATTAATCCGCGGCCGTCTATTATTTTCGGTAAACGCTTTTCGTCGGTATTCGGTAACAGGAAGCATTGTTAAATTTACGTTTGCTGATCGTAATAAGAAGCGATTAAAATAAATAACACCGATAAATTTGGATATCATTGGAATTGTATGGATTACAAATAATCTAACATAATTAACGGAGCAACGTTAAATTAACCGACAGCCGTTTGTTGTTTCGGCGAACGAGTTCCGTTGATATTTGCGACGTAAAAATAACGCGATAAATGCGAAAGAAATCGATTCGGCTGCAAATGTTGATTTCGGCGCGAGATCTGTCGGTCAATATTTTCGGGCATTTTACAAAAATTTGCGAGCAGCATATTCCTCCCTTACCCCCTCATCTAGTTCTTCGCACTACGGAATAATTCGAAACCGTATTTTTCGACTCCAAAAATATCCAATTTCTTTTTATTTATTCTTAATAGCAAATAATTACGATTTTCCGTCCACCCTCATCCCCTAATCTTGTCCTTTACACTTTCGAGTAACTTGAAAGTTTCAAAATTCGAATCTAGTGTAAAATACGAATACAATTAATCGCCCTAATTCAGCGTGCACATTGTGCCGCGCAGCGAACATCATTCACAAAAGATTTCGTAAAAACGATAACATAATTAACGGAGCAACGTTAAATTAACCGACAGCCGTTTATTGTTTCGGCGAACGGGTTCCGTTGATATTTGCGACGCAGAAATAACGCGATAAATGCGAAAGAAATCGATTCGGCTGGAAATGTTGATTTCGGCGCGAGATCTGTCGGTCAATATTTTCGGGCATTTTACAAAAAATTTGCGAGCAGCATAAATCCGCGGGAGTCGCGCGGGCCGGCGAGCAATTCGTGTTCGCGGAACGAGGATACGTGAGAGGATTCGCAACGAGAATCCGTGGTTTTTGTTTCGGTCGTCGTTAATACGCGGGGGCGGGGTAGATAACGGTAAGAAGGTCGCAGTTTTTCACGCGCCGGTTCGCCGAGTCCCTCCATATTCGCATTCTCATGCTCGCGGGTGAGTACATTTTTTTGCAGCTGATCGCGAAAAGGAGTCGCCCTTTACGACCGGCGATAAAGGACGAAATAATTGTACGAGCGCGCGCGCGACGAGAAAATAGGGGCCTGGCACTATGAAAATAATTTTCGCGGGCTCAGTGACTTCTATATCACCCGTTTTGCCCGCGAGAAGTTAATACCCCCCTTACATTTACGGACTTCATAACGGATTTACGAAAAGAGATGGAAAAAAAATGAACGGTACATATAATCCGACGGGATTGCGCTCCGCCGGAAAATAATACAACACGGTGGACGCGTAAAATTTTCATTACACTATTTCGTGTATATTAGAACCGTCCCGTTTAATACGGCAACTTTCATTAAAAACCTGCAAATACAGCGATTCGTAGTCAAAGTCGGCCGCGCGGTATCGTTGGATTCGAAATGACGAACGAAATGCGAAATATTAGAATGATCTTCGCGGAGTTTTTCGAGGACAGAAATGTTGTTTGTTGTTTGTGAAACGCGAAACTTCCGCGTTTCGCCGACGTGAAGATTATGGCGAAGAAATATAGAAATATAGTAATTTCTTTCAGGAATATGTTCGGAGGTCGAAACCGGCAGATCCGAGAATACCAAGTCGCGATTTTTCGTGCCTCGCGGCTCGTTTTTATAGAAAAACTCGGGGCAGTCGGCAAAAAAGGCATTAATACGAAGACATAGAAATAAGATAAAAGCTAGAATAAAAACGATGACTCAACTTTTTTATTTCTAATTTTTTGCCACGTTTCGTGGGCAATTCGGAGGCCACATGTCACGATTCGACGGTCACCTACCTCGTAGCTCTGCGGTTTTTCTTACCTGACTCACGCCCAAACAGCCATTACACGCTCGACCGACTCCGTCGACCCTTAACATCGCGTAGCAATAAATTATATGGGCGTAGGACTAGCACGGAGAAATTCACGGCAACCCGAAATTTGGCATTTTCGGGAGAAATTAGTGTACGATAGCTCGCATAAGAAACACTTTGCGAGTATAATACGTGTGAGTGCAGTATAAGTATAATATAAGTACAATGTAAGTACAGTATAAGTACACTATAAGTACAAT